GCGTGAGTTCGCAACGGAAGGTAAAAGGCGCCTGACTACTTCTCGAAGACGCGCGCGCCGCCTCGCAAAAGGTCGTTAATTTCGCCCCTATGACAAAAAACAAAATTCCGCCACGCAGGAGTTGTGCGCGTTTACAACATCTTTCCGACGACACCAATTTCAAAAGAATCGGACCAAAACTGTAGTAGAAGATAGGAAAAAACTGAAAAACCTTCACGTTAGTATACTACGCTCGAGGATGACGCCCAGATGTCGCCAACCCCACATCATGTAGCCATCTCCCTAAGGTTGACAAATTTCACGGCCCTGTAGATACACGTACACCCGTTGCCTTTCTACAAGAGTTCTTCTACGCGCCCACATTTGCTGCCAGCCAGCCAGCCAGCCAGCCAGCCAGCCAGCAGCCAGCCAGCCAGCCAAAGTGAGATTAAAAGCTACTTTTTACAAAAAAAATTTTTTGCAAAAATGCGCTAAAAATGTTACTCAATACAGTATGTACTTTTTTGCGGGCTATAAAAGTGTTACTTTTTCGTATCAGTATAACACAAAAAAATCAAATCGGCAAATTTCGGATTTTCTGGCATTTCTTCGGAAGTAATCGAAATTTTCTAATTTTGCATGATAATAACCCTTTAAATATTGTGCAACTTTTCCATAATTTGACCATCATCGTAACTTCTATGGTCTCTGAGATCCCCATGGCAATCATCCTTTTTTTGGACACAATGTATATCTCGGTAACGACTGTATACATAATTTTTCTACATTACTTCCCATAATTAGGTATCATTCAGTTGTTTTTATTTCAGAAGACAAATAAGTATCGAAAAACAATTACACTTTTTTGAATAGTAATGTACCCTTTCTTTAGGCTTATTTGATAGTGATTTGTTTCTCTTTTAGACGACGTAACATGTTAATACCTACTCTTATACAAGAGAATTTAAAAACTCAAGTGTATAAAGACATCAACAACTTTAATCTAGATATCCTGCATCAAAATAAAACAAATGAACGTGTACGTTTCTTGTAGTAAACCTTGAAGACAAAGGAAATTAGCAATAATTGCAACAGCAATTTCTCCCAGATACTCAGACATTCATTTCAAGCTTTTCGTGATAGGTTAGGGTATTGCCCTGCCATTAATGGCAAATGTTTTGAACACTTACTGCCATGAAAAACATTTCTTGAACTTGAACTATTTCGTTACTCATTTGTTTGTTGAATTAAAAACAACTGAATGCTGCTTTATTATGCGCAATAAAATGTTACCTTTTATATATAGAAACATTTTGTATACAGTCGCTATTACCGAGATATAGATGTAGGTAGCTATACTATATTCCATACACCCTGTATGTGGATGATTGGGGATTAAAGCTAGCGCCATTACGGTTAAGCCATAAGAATTTTTAAAAAGTGGGGGGGGGGCTAACTTAACGTTTTCAAAAGTTACGTTTTTTAACATGTTTTTTTCTTCTACATCGTACCTTTCATCATGCGCTAAAATGCGCCGTAAACAAAAATCTTGGCGCCATTATAGTGTTTCAGAAACACTATACAGGGTGTTTTTTGGGGAGCTTTAGTTAAACGATTCTGAGAAAGTAAAATAGGTAGGTTTTTAAAAATTTGTATTTAGGAGTTACTCCGAAGGCCGAATCGATGTAAAATATTTTCAAAATGGACGCACTTCCGGAAATAACTTTGGAAAACGCTAAGTTAGACCCTCCACTTTTTAAAAATTTTTTATGGCTTAACCGTAATGGCGTTAGCTTTAATTCAAGTGGCGCAATTGAGAGCATAACCAAATGTATCAGGTGACCTAGTTACAAGGGACAAAATACGTACTGGAGGGGGGGGGGCTACGTTCACTTGGCCCCCCCAAATGTTTTTTAGGATTTCTAAAAAACGATAATGGCGCAAGAGTTACTATCGGTGGCGCATATGAGCGCATAACGAGCGCATTCATTTCAAAATAATACGACTATGAAATCTCTCAGTGGGGGGGCCAAGTTAACGGACCCGTCAAGGTAGGTACTTAATCGGGATGAAAAAAACATTTATTGTCGATAAAAAAAGTGCGAAAACCAAATTTTACCTTTGCAATACATTATTTAGGCTCGTTGCTCGTAATACCGACAGTGACGGTAATCAAGTTTGTTGTCAGCTTTTCAGGACTTCGCCTGATTTTATATTAACTTATATTTATACATTGTATGTGAGGACAAAACCTAATTCTCGGGCGAAAGTCTTTTTTAGCTTTTCACTTTGACATTGCGCGCGTGAGTGCGTTTTGGACACTGTGCTCCTTAGGACGAAATCGCACCGCAACAAACGAAGTAAGCAGAAATGTCATTT